GATTAATAACTGAAACAGAAAACAAGATTCAGATTCTGGCTTTGGGTCTGAATTGGCTAAACAGACATCTTCCAGATCTGCAAGTACTTCTTTAGATCTCCACTTCCTCCCTGGTCCTCTCAACTCTTCACAGAAAATGAATTGATTAATTACTGAGAGAGGAACCACGAAAAGGACCATGAGAGTATCATCTGCCTCCGCCACAGACGACCGCCTGGCCAGCCTCAGCGGCGGCGGATATCGGGATGCCGAGTCACTCTTCCGCTCGAAGCCGATATCTGAGATCCGGAATGTCGAATCGACAACTAAGATGCAGATCCAGGACAAGAAAGAGGAGCTCCGGCAACTAGTAGGCACACGGTACCGCGACCTTATCGATTCGGCTGACTCTATCGTCCACATGAAGTCCTCCTGTGAGTCCATCTCCTCCAACATCTCCTCAATCCACAACCACATTCGCTCTCTCTCTTCCTCTCCCGTGTCCGAGACCCCCAAGCTGGCAAGCTCTAACCCCGCTCGTGTTGGAGTCTACGGTATTGCGTGCCGGGTCAAATACTTGGTCGACACGCCTGAGAACATCTGGGGTTGTCTCGATGAATCCATGTTTCTAGAGGCCGCCGGGAGGTATGTGCGTGCCAAGCACGTGCAGCACAAGCTTACAACGCAAGGCAGCGGCTCCGAGCTGGATCACACCAAGGTTTTGGCGAATTTCCCGCTACTGCAGCACCAGTGGCAGATCGTGGAGAGCTTCAAGGTGCAGATTTCGCAGAGGAGTCGGGAGCGCTTGCTGGATCGCGGACACGGCATTGGGGCTTATGCGGACGCGTTGGCTGCCGTGGCAGTGATCGATGAGTTGGAGCCCAAGCAGGTGCTGGGGCTGTTTCTGGAATCGAGGAAGACTTGGATTCTGCAGAAACTGACCACTTGTGCTGGTAATGCTTCTTGTTCTGCTGTGGTCTCCGTGTTTCGCGATGTGATGAGTGTGATTCAGATAAGTGTAGGACAAGTAGGGGAATTGTTTTTGCAGGTCTTAAATGACATGCCTATGTTTTATAAGGTTATTTTGAGTTCACCCCCTGCTTCTCAGTTATTTGGTGGAATTCCAAATCCTGAGGAGGAGGTTAGGTTATGGAAGTCATTTAGGGACAGGTTAGAATCTGTGGTGGTGATGCTCGATAAAGAGTACATTGCTAAGACTTGTTTAAGTTGGTTGAGAGATTGTGGCAGAGAGATTGTCAATAGGATTAATGGGAGGTATTTGATTGAATCCATTGGTACTGGCAAAGATCTTGGGTCAGCTGAGAAGTTGATACGGGAGACCATGGATGGTAAGGAAGTGTTAGAGGGCAGTTTGGAGTGGCTCAAAAGTGTGTTTGGATCTGAAATTGAGCAGCCCTGGAATAGGATCCGGGAACTTGTTTTGGAGGATGATTCAGATCTCTGGGATGAGATCTTCGAGTTTGCTTTTGTTCAGAGAATGAAGTCAATTATCAACTCAGGATTTGAGGATTTAACAAAAACTTTGAATGTAGCAGAGTCTGTTCATGCTATTGGGGAGAACGTGGATTTTCAGGCATGCTTAAACAGACCTTCTACAGATGGTGGTGTTTGGTTTATAGAATCCAATGCAAACAAAGTTGGTGGTCCAATTTTGGGGCACAAATCATCCCTTGAAGAGGATGATTTTCAAAGTTGTCTCAATTCTTATTTTGGTCCGGAAGTCAGTAGAATCAAAGATACAGTCGACTGCTGCTGCCAGAGTGTGCTGGATGACCTCCTGTTTTTCTTAGAATCTCCTAAGGCAGTTCTGCGGTTAAATGATCTGGCTCCATATATACAGAATAAATGTTATGAGAGTATATCTTTGGTGCTGGTAGAACTCAAAAAAGAGCTTGATAATCTGCATGCTTCCATGGAGAATGTAGACAAGGAAGGTCAACAAGTGCCTCCTGCTATAATTGTTGAGAGAGCACTTTTTATTGGGCGCCTCTTTTTTGCATTCCGAAGCCACTCAAAACACATTCCAGTAATACTTGGTTCTCCAAGATTCTGGTCGAAAGAAACTGTTGCTGCTGTTTTTGATAGGTTGCCATCCCTCTTGAGGCAATCTAGAGTTGCCACTGATTCTTTGGTGACTGACAGCCCTGGCAGGCAGACACCAGCTGGTCCTAGAAGACAGACCTCATCTGCTACTGCAGCTTTGCTCGGAGCAAATGAAAATGCAAGCCCGAAACTTGAAGAACTTAACAAAACAATGCAAGGCCTATGCACTAAAGCTCACATCTTCTGGATATTGTGGTTGTCCAATGAGCTTTCAATTATTCTCTCTCAAGGCCTTGGACAAGATGATGGATTGTGTGCGATGACTCCTTTGAGGGTAAGGCAACTTTCTTGGGAGTTTTATACTTCTTTTTTTCATGGTTCTTTGCAGGTGCATGCTATGTTCTTGTTGACATTTGTCATGTTATTGTATCTTCTTCTATCCTGTTTTGGATAATGCAAAATTAGGTAGAAAAAATAATGTTCCAATAAAGGCATGGAGTTTCTCATTTTCATATTAAAACTGATTCTTGGTTGCAATTGAACTGACTGTTAGGGAAAGGTGTTGCATAAGTTTACAATAAGTTCTTATTGAATAATTAACAGTTAAAGGTTGATGTTCCCATCTTTGTATTTAAAAAGTTAATTTTCTGCTCTCCAGACTTTTTAGGTGGTAGATGCATCGAATCTAGGTTTGAGTTCTCACTCTGCATCGTTTCCAATAATAAAAAATTCATTTGTTAAACAGCTGTAATAATGTAATACAGATAGATCTTAGAACATTAAGGTTGTAAACAAGAGATAATTGTTGTTAAAAAGAAGAAAGATTATTTAGAAAATAAGGTGAATGAAAAACTTATCTAAATGTTTATATGTTTGTGATCCAAAGATTGTGGCCTAGTTTTCTTGAAGGGTGTTTGAGCTTTCGTTCAGTTTCTTATAAGCATTCCAAGTTACCCTGTTTGGTAAACTAAAAAAGTTACTTTTAACAGTTATGTATTTGATGTTATAAGCTCCTCTTAAGCCAAAAGAGGCACTTTAAGGTGCATTATAGATTATTTTGAAGAGATTCTAGAAAATAAGGATGGACAAGAAAATAAAAAGGAAAAGACTGACATG